CACTGGGACAGCTAACCAATCACAACACATTTTGTTTTTCGGAAGGCGGACCTTCATCAAAACCGGAACTAATCGAGCCGTTTGTGCCAGCCTGGGGAGAAAGGTGTTTTAATAATGTAAATTATGTGAAAAATAATGTAACCAATTATTTACCTAACCCTAACCCTAACCAAGCATGAGAACATGTTCTAGAACACCCCCAAAACAAAATCAAGACTTTGTAAAAGAGCATAATAGGACCCCTTTAAATGAGTGACATTGTGATTTCACAATATCCAGAAGAAGCGTGCTGTAGTTTGAACGAGCTGTTTGCTGTACTTCTTAAAGTGTTTTCTGTTAAAGAGAATATCTGCCTTTGTAAACCTTGCAGATCGGTTTTATTCTCAAACAGTAACTTTACACACTAACTAAAGCTAAAATAGTGGAAAAGCATAATAAGACCCCTTTAAACTGACTTTCACTAATAAAGCTTAATGACTATCATAGGAACATGCTAATAACCTACTAAATAATGCTAGCAACATGCTAAACCATGCTAGCAACGTCTTAAAACATGTTAACAACATGTTAAAACATGCTATCAGGGTTGCTAAATCATGCTATCAGTGTGCTAAAAGATACTAAGAATCTGTTAAATCATGGTACCAATGTGCTAAATCACAGTAACAACATGCTAAAGCATGATAAAACAGTAGCAGTGTGTTAAAACGTTATCAACATGCTAAATCATGCTAGCAATATTTTAAAACGTTAGTTGTTAAATCATGTTAAATCATTTTACCAACTTGCTTAAACATTTTAGAAATGTGATTGAACATGTTAAAAACATTCTATTGACTAAAATCAAGCCAACATCAAAGTGTATGAACTTTATTCATCTGGTTTTATTTTTGTGATTGTATATTTGAGAAAAAAAATTGTACAGTTTGTCTTATTCTTTAACTTGTTTTTTTTATATGAATGAATGTAGGCATTTCGTAGTATATCACCATAGCATCTCACCCTTTATTTAGTATAGTAGTAGGTTGTATTGTCAGTTATGTTATTGTTATCAGTGCTAAGCCAACATTTAGTAAGACGTACATTGTGCATTTTGGAGAGGGTGCACAGGGATGCATTTATATACTGTGCTCATATACTGGTACTCATATTCGTGAAAAAGGGTCCAATAATATCCAATGACATGTGCACGACACTACCTAAATGTTACAGCATAAAGAACCCCCAAAGCAGCAGAATACAAAACCGCAAAAGTCTGAAGTAAGTGCAGGTTAGGTGGCCATTTAAAGCCCTAATTAGTGAACCGAGCTGTTGTCGAGCAATACCACAGTTGACCAGTGGTACAAAGATTTACCACACAGCAGTTTTTAGCACACTCACTTAAGCCATCTTTATACTACAATTTAAAATGTACAATTTAACATGCAGCTATGTTATTTTTGTTTGGAATGAAGGTATCACTTTGTGTATACTTTGTGCATATTTTTGTATTCTTGTTGTCATTAAGATTTTGCAGGCTTTCTGTACTAACCAAATAATTCCTTCTTTTTGTTTTTTCCTCTTTTGGGTGTTCCTGGACTCTACTGCTTGTCCTATTCATCTACTGAACTTCGTGGGGGGAAAAAACTGACTTTTTTGGGCTGTTTCTGCAACAACTAAAATATTATATGGACATTATAAAATGGCAACATATTCCAAACAAATGCTTGCTACAAATATGCCATACTTGTTTTGACATTTCAATTCAGCATAAGGATCGGTTTTCTGAAGGATCGCCTCTTCAGATGGGTTCGTCTGTGGCTGGGCGATCTGGTGTCGACTCTCCTCAGCAGCAGCAGGTGGTTGGGGCAGGACCTGTTCCTGGTGTGGCTGGCCAAAGTGGCTTTGCGAGAGGAAGCCCAGTAGGGGGAAACTTTGATGGGCCTAATAACAAACGACGTAGATACTAATATTTATTTTCTCTGGTAATTGTGCTTACACATGTTCAGGTTGAAGCAGCTTGACTCATGATTAATGATATATTCTCCTTCTCATTGCTTTTTTCTGAAGCAGCATTTATGTCTAACATGGACAGAAATTGCATGAGTCTGGCCCTGTGTTAATGTGAAACACTGTCATAAATTATTAAATGTCATTGAAGCAACTTGTACGTAACAATATCCTAAGCCATTTGTAGATTACTTACTACTACCGTAGTTGTTTCCTTTTTTTAGTTAAATACTTGAAATTAAGCCATGTTTTTTTTAAAGAATGTTCAGAAGTTTTCTGCTTTCTGTTTTAGAATGTCAGTCCTTTGAATAAAAATGTTTTAAGATAACTGCATTAGTGTTTGAGTCACAGATTTGAAATAGATTTCCCAGTTGTCACTATTGAGTAACATCATTCCACTTGATCAAGTCATGCGTCTGATGGCAGCAGCATCTTCCACTAATTGTGCCGGGCAGTGATGCACTGGGAAGAAGTAGTTGTATTCTGTTTAAATAGCCTTAAACACAAAGAACTGGGTAATGCTGATCTTCTGGAGCACAGAGAAGGTCTTTGTAGTGTGGCACACGCAGATGAAGGAACCTTGAAGGTGAACGTTCTGAAGTTGGTGCTGAGGGCCCTGACAATATGAAACATGCAGATGTTCCTTGAAGAGAAGGTTTTTTTGTGAAGGGCATATGCTTGTTGTTGCTGCGGTCATTGTTTCCAAATTCGCCGAAGTTTCACCTTTCCTGAGCAGAAGGGATTTGCAAATGGGCAAACATGGTCTTTGAACGTCTAGAGCACAACAGCTCTTTCCAGAATGTTGAAGCGTTCTTGGAGGCTCTCATCCGGACCTCACAGGTATGATTTCATTAATAAGATGGCAAGCATTCTTTTGTGTGGAGAAAAAGGGGAAAAAAATTAATCAAAGGGCATTTTAATTACATTTTTAATTTTTTTTTAATCGTAATGTTTTTGTCTTTGGTTTTATTGTTGTGATTATTTTGATGCATTTTTTATGTAAAGCACTTTGAATTACCATTGTGTATGAAATGTGTTAAATGTGTCATTTTCAAAAATGTAGTCATTCTGTGGCACATGTGTTTTTGAGAGTCATGTGCCACTTAAGGTTTTGTAATATGACTGCTATTATATGTTGTTGATTTTGTAAATGGCCCATTCTAAAATAAATAAATGTCTGAATTTGGGTTTCTTGCCACCATCAACTTGCGTAAGTGAGAATTCCCACAGTGGGTTGGGTTGGGTTGGGGGGTATCTGGGGTTGTTTGTGTGTATATATATAATATATATATACATACACACACATTTATATATATATATACATACATACACATTTATATAGACACACATATAGTATATGTGTACTAGGGCTGTGTATCACCAGCAAAGTCACGATACGATACATGACTGCACTGAATTTCACCTCAGCAGAATTTAGAAAAACAGCCGTTTATTAAACACTGCTTACTATAGTGCCATTTCTAACTATTGGCAGAGCAGGCAGCTGACCTCTGCATTATGAAGGGCCTCCATAACTGTACCACAGTATAATATAGGTAATGGCATATGTTTCATGTTTACATTGTGCACTCCCCACCAGGTACAATATTCTGATTGTTTGCATCTTGTTTTTAAGCACATAAATAATGTACTCGTTCTAATAAATTTATATTGTAATGTACTCAATCTAATATATTTTTAAAAAATCACTTACATTGCTGGTAGGTTATCATTGCACAAATTAACACACTCCCTACGATAAAAAAAAAATTAGAAGAGTTCTAAACTAACGCTCTGTCTTCACTGTATCTAACGCACACACGCTCAAGGCTGATTTACTCGACGCGTCCGCTTAGGTGCGCGCAGCAGGACTTTCTGCGCAGCTCCGCTTCTGAAGATGCACGAGTTCAAAGCGACTCTAGCCGAACATGCACGTCTGTGCCAGCATTTGTGTGAAACAGAAGCAGTTTGATGTTAAGTGCAGTCACACACACAGATCATGTTGTGGCCGCACTCAGACATTCAGGAACAAACTTTTTAGCGCTGCCCCGCAGTTTTATCAACTAAATAGCTTAATCGCTCAAGAGCTACATTATCTTTCTCAACAAGGAGCTGGAGCCACAGCTTTACTGTTAATAGAGAAACGCGGCAAAATGGTGGTAATTCATACATACACAGCCTCTCTCTCTCTCTCTGTGTGTCGTAAATGAACAGTCGATGAATTACAATTTTCTGAGAATAGAATATTGAAGTGGAGATCACTAAACTGGAAGCTAAGTGGTGTTTTCAGAAAGCAAGCGCGTTTATCCACATGGAGAGATAGCGTATGGTTGCCAGGTTGACAAAGATAAGTAGCACACTTGGCAGATATTCCCGTATTGCGCAAGTGTGAAGCTCTGTTTCGGGGATTACGTCTCTTTATATCAGTCAACCCAGTTGTGTTCCTCTGCAGCCAGATTAAAACTTGTTGTAGCCTATATATGCTCTATACCTCGCACTTTTCTATTCAATTTTAAACGTTGTCAAATTTGAAACAAATTAAGCACGGTCCACTGCTGCACACGTGCCACAATATCGATACAGGGCCAGCTGTAACTTTCCGTACCAACTGTATATATATTAGTGCTATCAATCGATTAAAAAAAATAACTAATTAATCGCACTAATTCATTTTTCTGAAATTAATAATGATTAATCCCACCTAACATTAAAGTTTTTAAATGTACTTTTATATTGCATTAATTTCACATTCAATATTCAAAATTAATGTACAAACAACATACAGTATACATTTTTTTAATGGCATCTTTTTTTATGACTGAAGGCCAGTACCAATGATACCAATACTGATTTCTCTTTAAAATTGCCCCCCCAATATTTAACCAGATTTTTTAATATATTTAACCAACCAACTATAGCCATTGAACATTAAAGTATAATTGAGAGCTATCAATTTTAACATTTATTAGACTTAAAAAAAAAAAATCTTCTAATTTAAGTGAACTTAAAACAATCTTCACATAAATCCATTATAATGTCATATTTACTTGTGCCCTTCAGCAGAAATATACAGAAATTGAAATTGAAAACACTAAATTCTAAATTAAATAGATGAATCCTTAAAACTATAAAAGTTATTTTTTCCTCTTTTTTTTCTTTGTCCTTTGATTAATAGACATCACAGCAGCTGGTTATTAGGTTATTTGGCTGTTATTTCTTTAAGAGCTGCCGCTGCTGAACGTGACGTGGATCTGACAAGCATCATATTTTCTCTCTTTTGACCTTTTCTGATCCCCTTCAGGTCTTAAAGTCTCTATTAATGAGCTGACGAGTTAAATTGGGTGTGTTAGATGAGTGAGACAGTGCTGGGAGGGTTTGAAATTAACAAAAAAAATAAAAAATCAGCTTTGGTGGGTAACGCTGTCAAGTCACTAGCCAATTTGTCGGGTTACTTTTCGTAAGTTATGTTTACTCATTTATTTCTTGGAGAAGTTCATGCAAGCCAAATCTGTGCAGGTTTAGCGCACATACTGAACTCGTGAGACATTATGACATTATCGAGTATATTGCAAAAACCAAACAGAACACACCTACAGAGTGCACGCATAAGCGACTGCGTGATGAAGTCTGGTTAGACCAACACATGCTTTAGTGCGTGTGCGCATTTAGAGTGCGTTCTTTCACTGCATGATTCAGTCTATTAATATGCATTAAGAATGATCACATCATTCACGATAAGGGGGCAGAAAATGTATATATTTATATAATTTCACACAGTTAATCAATATCGCACAAAGAGTGCCTTTTTTTTAAAAACATGGTTACAAATGTGATACTGATTTTATACAACAGTTCAATAAACAATAAGTTAATATCAAGAGACTTATGTTTTAGACACCATATTGCCTGTTTTTTCTCTATTTTGCCAGCAAAAATCATTCCAAACACAGCCACAGCACTGTTTTGCGTCTCTGAGCAACATGACCATGTTTCGTTCCTGAATGAGTCAACTGTTTAAATGATTCGGTTCAATCGCAATGACTCACTTAACAGTGACTTGCTACCACCTACTGGCAGTTTTAATTGTTTTAATTTTACATTTCAAGAATCTTTTCAATTTTTAAATAACTGTAAATGTCAGTATTCAAGATTTCATGTTTAAAATATCAAAACATTATTTATGCATTTGTAACTGCAGGTTAAAGCATTCCATGTCCCTCTAAGCTGCATTAACATATATAAATACATCTAAATACCACTTCATATGCAACTTCTGCAAATATTAATTTTGTTGATATTGAGTTCATTTGTTTAGTAACAGCCTAAATGTATTATTATTATAATTGACTGATTCAATGTAAGAATTTGACTCAAAAGATTATGCACACTTTTAGGAAAAAATTCTTTATATAGGTAAAAATGCCCATAAAAGGTCAAAAATAAATGTAAACTTATTGGAAAAGATTAATTTATATCACTGCTGTGAACTGACCACACAGAATATGAAATATATATAAAAAACTTTAAAAGTCAGCTGTCCACTGTAGGCCTTATATCAGCAGAATAACACACTTATTGGCTAATTATCTTTAACAATAAAATTCCAGAAAATTTTGAAATATAATTTTTTTTATCAATATCGCACACCCCTAGTACTGACACAAAATGATTTGCAACGGTCGCTTTGTCACGCACAGTGTAGACAGCCTCAAGCTGTTGGTTTATTTATGTTTTTTTTGGGGGGGGCTAGTAGACGTTATGAATGGCCGATAACTTAAAAATATTGTAGCCAAATTGGCTGGTGAGTGAAAAGGTTACTTTCAAACCCTGTATGTATATACAGTGGGGCAAATAAGTATTTGATACACTGCCGATTTTTCAAGTTTTCCCACTTACAAAGAATGGAGAGATCTGTAATTTCCATCGTAGGTACACCTCAACTGTGAGAGACAGAATAAAAAA